TTCAGGCTCACCACTGAGTGGGCTCAACTCGGGTCAGCTTCACGATATAGGTTGTTGATGTCCAAGGGTGGTGGCTGATCTGTTGCGCAGTCAGGATGTCGATCGATCGCGTGAGCGTGAACGTTCTCGGGGGGTGGTAGTGATTGTTGAGAGTGGAAAGCTTGAGTGGCTGTGAGATCGTGTAGGAGACTTTGGTGGAGTGGTTGGTGAACTGGCGAGAAAGTCAGTAGTGTGTGGCGGAAAGTGCGCGGTGGGATCCAAGCGGAATTGGCCAGGTAGACCAGGAGGACCTGGTACAAATTGGAGCAATCTGCGTGCCCGCATTAGGCGCATGGTGGCCCGCCCCAGGTCAACGACGCTGCTGTGATATTGGTGGTAAAGGCAAAAGGCATTGCGGTCGACAAACATGGTGGTGTTTGGTACAGGGCCCCCTGCCATGGGGTGCTCCAGGATTTGTGTGACCAGCAGGGAAAGGATGTCAAGTAGTCGGTGAAGAAGCAGGATTTCTGGCTGGTAGGTAAGAGAAGAGGCGAGGTGTACGGGACCGTTGCCTGGAAGAAAAGGTTGAGTGGAGTGGGTGTGCGAAGCAATGCTCGGTGGTGTGTGGGTGGAGCCGGGCTGATGGCTGGCGTTCACGCCAGAAATTGGTTCTGCGCCGCTTGTGTCCTGTGGATGAGCGGTAGCCATGATGGAGCGGCTGAGAAAGAGCGAAAGGTGCACACGAGTCAAGTTCAATGGTAAATGGCTGCGATGCGGGTGGAAAAACGCTGAAAAGTTCAAAAATGAAAAGAAGCATGGTCCACAAGACTGCAAAAAGTTAGAAGATAAATACAATTGAGATTGTTGACTGTTGGCTGTCCGAATTCACGGGCTGAGCGTGCATCTATTTCCGGCAGCGCGCCGAAGGAGACGGGGTGAGACTGAGCGATCATACAAAAAAGCTGCCTAGAAAGTGGTCATCTACAGGTTCTGGATGACTGTCCTCACTGTTGGTGCGCCGCGCAGCAGCTGCGCAGGCATCCGCTGCTGATGGTAATGGAGGATGTTGTTGGCGGTGTTCTTGCTGGTGAAATGGGAGGAGGAGAAACTGCTGGCGGTGTACGCGCAGGCGATGTGGGAGTGGGGGAGATGACGGGTGAAGTGATTGGAGAGGGTCGTGTGGAGGCGTCTTGAAGTCGTTGCTCTTCCTGAAGTTCCTGCCAGCGGGCTTTACACTGTTCGATGGAAAAGCCCACCCGTCGAGCGACATAGTTCCAGTTGGGGCGGAGACGGATGTCAGTCTTCAGCTGCTTCAGCTCCACAAGTCGGATATCTGCTTCGCCATCCCAAGCGTCCCAATCAGCGTTGGGGTTCAATGGCGGTGGTGGTTCACGTCTCTTCTTGGGTTGTGGTGGCTGTGGAGGAGGTGTGGAGGAGGTGTGGAGGAGGTGTGGAGGAAGAGGAGTCTTGAGAAGCTGTTGGCTTGCGCGGCGCTTGCTTGATTGGCTCAATTGGTGCTGAGTCGCAAGAAGAAGTGGGCGATGGTATTGGCACGGTGAATGAAGGAGGTGGCGGAAGTGGGGGGAAAGATCGTTGGAAATGAGCATCGACCTGTCCTGTATGGAGCAGGTAAAGGCTGTGTAGATTTGCCAGGATGTCAGTTGCTTGCTGGAGAAGGCGGTGCAGTTGTGTGAGAGCGATGGCGGTGCGGTGGATCAGCTGAGTGTGATCTGAGCTCGGATTCATCCTGTGTGAAGGCTTTGGTGATGAATGTTTGTGAACAGCAGCTCCGTAGCACGTCAGGATCAGTGCGGCGGCCCAGGCAACATGAACAAGCGGCTGAGGCGTGCAAGTGAATTATTGAATGCGAATTATCGAGCATGAATTTCGCAACATACATTGATCGGGCAGCAAAATGGGGCCTTCATGGAGGTCTCAAAAGGTCTTTGAGGACCAGAAGTTGAAAGACATGAAGAATCCAAATCCGTCGTGGTCAGGAGGCCAACATCTCAAAGTTGAAACGAGATCCCAAAGAGGGTAAATCATCAAAGAAACTGGAGCAGTGTGACATGTCACATGGCAAACATCCAAAATCAACTTGCCGTGCAATGAAGTGAAACAAGCATGGTGTCTAATTGATGGAAGCGCTGCACATGGAAGTCGAACCTCGCTCGGGTTCTTTTTTGGCTGGGCGACTGGTATATGGTGATGGGTGAAACAGTAGGGAAGTGGCCCTCAGAGTGGATGCTGGTGTGGTAGGAAATCAGGTGTCTGGTGGAGTGGAGTTGACCGACCACGCTAGGCCTTTGACGATTGCGTTGTTAGGGTGAATCACCCAGGATCTGGCTTTGGCGTGGCAAACGGCACCGTGGTTTTGGAGAAGCAAGTTCATCGCGTGCTCCTCGCCTCCGCTGGTGAATTTGGTGCCTTGGCCCCAGGCCAGGAGGTTGACAATGATTGAGTGCGTGTTCTTTGCGAGGTTCCATGTGTTGTGGAGAATGCGGGCGTGTTCTGCGTTGTCGTGTTGCGGCTGTTGTGTGATGCGTACGGCTTGGGCAAAGAACCCGGGGTTGTTGGCAAAGTGGAGTGTGCTGGGGAGGAAACGGCCCTGTTGTAGGATGTTGCTGATGTTGCCGAGAGGGCCGGTGTGGCCCGCGTTGGTGCGTATACCATCTCTGGTGTGGTGGCACGTGTAGCGGGTGGGAAGCTGCGGGTTGCTTTCTGGACGAGGCTGGGAATGGTGATGCAGTGGTATTGGTAGATGTCGTGAGTGTTGGCAGTGTCGTTCCATTTGATGTGAGTGAATGGGCGGAAATCTGAGAGGTCTTTGTAAGTGAAGCCGCTATCGAGCAGCAGTTTGGCGATGTATGTGTGCTGTGGTTTGTTGGGTGCGTCAAGTTGGTCGGCATGATAATCAAGCCAGAGTTCCAGTTGTTCTTGTGGAGTGCGTTGTTGAAATTGTGAAAATGGTCGCCATGGTTTGGCAGGTCGGCGTAGAGCGGGGATGTTGGGATAGCTGGTCTGTGAGAGGTTTGTGACAGCATCCTGTTGTATTGAGTCATTGTTGGGTAGAAGAGAGATGGGTGGCCTGGAACGACTGCGTGAGCGGCTGTAGGAGTAGGTGGAGTAGGAGTAAGAAGGTGAGCGCTGGCGGTGATGTCGTGTTGAATGATGTCCGCGAGAGGCATCTTGCTGGGTGGTTGAGCGCGTGGTGTGGTGGCGACGAGTGCGCCTGCCTCGAGTATGATGGCGATGGCGGCGACGATGAGGTCGGTGGTGGCTGCTGCTTTGGTGGCTGGGAGCGGTGGACGCTGGGAGTGGAGGAGCGGCGACGGTCTGTGGGTGTGCTGGTGGTGGGTTTGGAATCTGTGTGCCCGGAATTGTCGGATGGATTGGAGGCCATTGGAGGCTGCTGCGGTCGAAGGTGGTGGCGGGTGTGAAAGAGGAATGGAAGAAATTTGCTCAGTGCCAGGGCGGTCTGCTTGTGTTGAGGGTGCTGTGGAGGTTGGCGATTGGAGGCCAGGAGTGGCCGCGGCTGGAAGTGATGCTGGTGCTGCAACAGGCAAAGGGTCAGGAGGAGATGAAGTGGCGACTGCCGAGGTCTGGCTTGGTTGCGTTGGGCCTGGTGGAACATGACCCGGTTGGACGACTGGCGGAAAAACCGAAAATGGTTGCCAAACTCCCTGGCTGTAGTCCCATTGCATTGGTGCCGGCTGGCACGGTGGTGATGGAGCTGGTTGTGCATGAGGCACTGGTACTGGTGGTGGGTGTGGTTGTGGCTGATGGCAGGAGGCTGTGTTGGCGAGGGCTCCGGTGGAGGCAGTGAGTAGGAGAATGGAAGCGTGTGGTGATGTGGTATTTGAGGTACGAGTTGTGTTGGTGGGTGGAAGTGTGGCTGTGGTGGATGCTGCCATGTTGGAGGCAATGTCGGTGGTATGTGTGGGATCATGGGAGGTACGTGAGGCTGTGTCGGTTGGATGGGAAATGTGTGGGCTGCTGTAGGTGGTGGCTGTTGAGGCCAGCATGGGTAAGGCCATGGATACTGCATTGGCTCGATGTTGGTGATAGTCGAGGTTCCACTCAAAAGTTGTAGCTTCAAAGGTGACGGCTGCTCAATGGCAGCAGCGCGGCGCAGCAGCTGTTTGAGAGTCGCTGCTACTTGTACCCGTGAAGTGAAGTCGTGAAATGGTGGTGAAAATCTGAAAGATGAAAGTGAAATGGCATGAGATGAGAAAACTGTAGGTGGTGAGTCGAATGTGTGGAAAATCTGTGGTGAGAGATTGAACGTGAGTCGACTGTACACACTTGAAGCTCGAAAGTCAGCTGCATATTGAAAACTTGAACATGCGGTGAAGTGACATGCTGAAGCTGTAGTAGTCTGAAAGGATTCCATCGTATTAGCCCGGCGGCTCAAAAGGCAGCAAATTCAAGGTTAAAGAAGAAAGCAGTTAGGACAATCAGTGAGACCGATCAAAGCTGTTAAACGATTTCCGGAATGATGACAGCGCCTCCTTGCGGAGGATCACACCCAGCACCCAAGTGGGACGGCTGAGCGGCTCACACTCTGACATTGGTTTGCTGTTAACTCAATTCCCACGGTGAGAAGGAAGGTGAGGGAACGGAAAGGCGCATGAGTCAGCAGGAACAGTATGGTTGAACATTGTTTCCGAGTGGCCTCGAGATCGATCTGCACAGTCGATGCGGTGACGAGCACAGCAGGAAAGTGGGTTTAGGGGAAGAAACGTGGAAGGACCATGAAACAAACCGATCAAATTGGACAGCGTGGTCAACAGTTATTCAGCAGGTACGTGGATTCTGCGTCCAGAATCCATATCAGTGACTCAAAACAGCCTCTTCGTTGGACTGCCGCTGTTAAGAGTCAGGCAGTCCCCCTGCTTGCAAAGTTGAAAGAAAAAGACAGGCAGCACCCTTTGGAACAAGGGTTGACACACACACACACACATGCAATTCTTCTCTTGACTTGGTGATTTCTGAGCGTCCATCCTTCCCGTCCGCCCGTCCTCAAAAAGCACCATGTTCGGACTGCTCACATCAGGCGGTAAGACAGCCGGCCAAGGCCCCCGGCAGTCAAAGTAAAACTGGATGGTCTCTGCTGACCTTTCCACATGAAAGAGTGGGACACCGAGCATAAACCGTTGGTGTCCCAAACAAACAGGCGGCGCCCAAGTTTAAGTGGCTCCACAGCAAGCAGTTCAATCATTGAAGAACCGCTAAGTTTCTGGCGCTGACCCTGTGATTTGTGAAAGGAAAGAGCCAGAAGGGCAAGTCATGTTCAAGAAACCGGTGCTTTTGTCATAGTGAGCTTGGTAAGTGTGCAATGGCGGCTTCGCATTGGGCATCACAAAAGCAGAGCCAAGGCTGGCGCACTGCGGGACACAATCAGGAGAGCTGTACTTAAAACCGGCCGGGGATATTGAAATTGGCCACGTCACTTCAGAGAAGACATCTCCAAACTGGCAGCTGGCTACAAACATGGATGCTGTACATCCCCAAATACCTTTCTTCGCCTGCTCCGCAGCATGCAAGAAGCCAGACTCCCGGCAAACCTGGCTCCACGACCCATCTTGTTTGACAAAGCCGGAGAATTCGGCGTAGCTCTTGCAGGCAGCATAGTTCCTGGCTTGGCCCTTCTCTATTACCATGCTCCTAAGACCATTGCTGGTGGTGGCGGTACTTGGCTTCATGCTCTTTGCTCGCAAGCACTGCTTTGAACCTGAGGCACTGGAGGCTGGCATGATCTTGCCACCCAAGATCACGAAGTTGAATTCGGGACCAGGAGTGGTCTGCTTTGCGGCGATCAAACGTAGCTGATGATCTTTGTCCTCGATGGTCTGCAAGTAGTAGGTGGTCGTCAAATCCCCAAGATGAAAATAGGCTATATGGGTTCCTCTCCAAAGGAAAGTTGATTGGCAGTCGGATGAGACTTGCATCATGTACCCCTGGCCCAATTTCATCGTCAAGTCGGCATGGAGGCAGAGTTTGGCATTGACAGGAGGGTAATCGAGGTATATCTGGAACAAGCCTCTCGCATGCAAACACTTCGAGGAGCATCAAAAAGAATGGCTCCAAGTGTCCAAATGACCTTTTTTTGCCTCTCCCTTGGCCTAGTGATCTGATTCAAACCCGACGTTTTTGCAAGAACATTTAAACCTAACCGGCCCAATGAGCAACTCCTTCAGCCTTGAACCATTGGAACCCTTGTTGGAACCCACCTGGCCTTCGCCTTCGCTTCGAGTCTCCTTGAAGGCCAAATTCCCCAAACGCAAGGGCGACGCCTCAGCCGCCGTCTCAACGGTGGCTGTCCAAAGCATCTGCGCGGTGTTGCTCAGATCAAAGCCAAAGAAACCTGGCAAATCACAGAGATGGCCAAAGGAACAAATGAGTTCAGTCTTGGAATATTGAATGGGGACACCTCCCACATGGCTGAAATGGTGGGCGATCGATAGTCATTGATCAGGCAGCGTCGTGAGGCAGGTTCGCGACCAGCCAGTCACTCTAAACAAGGATCTTGCTTTGCCAACCAGATCGGTTGCACAGGGGGTCGCCGCTAACAGGGAGGGCTTTTTTGTTGAGACTTGCAGGCGCAGGACAGTAGGATTCATGAGTCTGGGCGGCTAGGTAGCGTAGAACACATGGCTAGCTACCTCAGACGCCGCAGCAAAGTCACCTGTGGCGCCATGCGCTTGGCGACAGTGGGATCAGTTCAAGTCACATGTTATTTGCGGGGTGGTGGCCGGTCTAGCCAGGATGCATCACTTGCAGACTGGCTGTCCGACTCTCTTAAAAGCCAGCTAAAGGTGTCCCTGCTGGCCAAAGTGCTGATACCTAGGCCTGAAGGCCGGATGAGCGAGCTGCGAAAGCTCGCCTTGGGCTGCTCTCAAGTCACTCGAAAATGCCAAGGCTATGACGAATGGAAGGCCCGACTTGAGTAGCATGGAAAGGAAAAGTAAGACTCAGAAAAAGTCGAGCAGTTGATGTTGTTCTTGATCCTGGCAAGCTTGAGCTCGTTGGTGAAGTGTTGAAGAGCAACGGTCGTTGGGCGAAGTCTGCACAAATGCTGTGAGGGTTGCCTTTTGTTGTGAGGATGCTTTGCCTTACGCCGAAGCTGGCAAGTTCATGAGTGTAGAGTCTCTGATGCTTTGGATAATTGGTGGACACGCTGTTTCTGTTTTGCCTGCTTTGACTATGTAGGAACAAAAGATCCTGTCCTCGTGGAGTGCAGGGTCTTCAGCGCTTAGAGCGGCTTGGAGATGAAGAAATCCAGGTCTCAAATTCTGGAGGCTGTCCTGAGATTGCAACTTTGCCTATCAAGGTTTTCAGAATCCAGATCTTCCTTGACGAATAGGAGGGGTTACCTCGCTGGTCTCTAAACATCCGCTGTGCACTCGATTACGCGATCCAAACGATCATTATGCGGGCAAACGCAAGCCGAACGCGTGACAGCAGGTTTCAGGTTTCTTTCCGTCTGACACTGATGTCACGACGTCTTTGGAATATGTTGTGAGTGACCAGGAGCCCCGTTCGTATCGTCCTTGCTCCTAGTAGTACGCCAGGAGCCCCTAGTAGCGTCCTTCTTCCTAGTAGTGCCTGAATCTGGGTTTGACCGCCTTCACTCCATCCAAGTTCGAGTTCGGTGTCTCTATGTCGAGCCTCGCCTCGGAGAAGGGCAAGGAAGCGTAGCAGTTACGCTTTTTTGGATCCTCAAAGTTCCAAGTAGAGTGCCCGCTGGTTGCATGTGTCCTTAGGAGGATTGGGCCAAACGATTAAAGACCGCGCTGCCCAACTGAGAGAGACTCAATCGTGTCGGGCGCAACCAATTCTCCGTCGATCGTGCAATTCCGATCATTGGTTGCGTTTGTTGAGCTTTGCGTGGGTGTTTCTTTTGTCGGTGAAACGGTGCATGGGAACAGGGGTGGGAACCCCTTTTTGCCATTGACCTTCACGGCTGAGCTTTGCGTCTGTTCGAGTCCGTGCTGTCGTTGAACGACAGCTTACATTGAAAGTGAGAGAGAGAGAGAGTGAACAGATCATGACAGATCGATTTGTCATATGTGGTTTCTATTGCCGAACGGCCATGAGATGTTCAGGAGACGAGTGTCGTCTGAAGTCGAGTGCCACTTCCTCAGAAACAGCCGTCTCTCTATTGTTCTGTGAGCAAAGCGAAGGCCACACAAATATGAAAGCGCATGTGGCTCAGTTGATGTCCGTCAAACAGTCAAACGGCTGTTGTTCAAAACAGGACGACGCCACCCGGTTCTTTTTCGCACCAAAAGGAGGGGTCAGTTGTCCCTTCGTGCCCTGGAAGGGGCCTGGATGGGATGGCAACTAAATGAAACTTGAAATACAGGACCAAATTAAAAGAAGGTTTCCAAACCAGTGATGCCTAGGGTTTCACCTTTCAACATTCGCACACGAATAACAACAAGCCTCCGAGATCTGTCCAGACCCTGCCAAGGAGCAATTCCCAAATTTGAAGTACCAAAGAAACCTCAGCTGAGAAAATAAAAAAATATCCACCAGTTCGCGCCGAAGCCTTGGAATTGCATTGTTCCTGGGTGGTGATCCAAGAATGGTAGTGAGGTGGCTCCCGTGGTGCGATGAAGGGTAGTGGATGCTGGACCTGCATTTGGAGGCCCAGCTGTTTTGTCCGAAAAGGAATGAATGAGCTGACGCTCGACCCCTTTATGTTCTTTTTGGTGGGGGTAAATACTTGAGCGAGATTGAGTGAGGATCCAGAATCGGTGATGCGCCAATGGAAGGAAACTGCATATTCGTGAGCAGCTGATACCTAGTTGCGTCTTCTCGCCTCTAGATGCAACAAGTATGACCAGATGCGACAATACGATTCTATTCTCAAACGTGTTTGGCCGCTGCTTAACATCTGCTAACCCCTAAAACCCGGCCAAGCAGCTTCAGATCGCGGCCGTTTGGGCAAGTCGCCACTGCCAATGTCTTGTCAGCTTGGAGGCATTTTGTGCCGCTGGATGCTCGAATAACACCCTGCTCGAAGAGCCAGAAGTCTTTCTTCTGGAATGACTCATCACACAAACAGGCTTGCAAAGCATGGCCATCGTCACAAACACACCACTCCTTGTTTGGATCAAGCACATTGGATCTCACTCGTAGGTGGCCAGATGTTGAATCAATCCACCACAACGATTCAGGTTCAAGCACCTCCAGTTGGAGGTGTTGATCCTGCAATCAGCATTTCATGTTTGAAGGCTCAGGATACTCGGCACATTGCGCCCAGCCCGCGTGAGTTTGTCTTTACATTCACACATGTGTAGTGTACTATTACCTGCCTGCGGAACCTCGCGGATACAGCTCATACATGTTCATTCCCCAACTCAACTCACCGGACATTTGTCCATATTCACCTGCTCGCACTCATAACATTGCAAAGCTTGCTGTCCATGGTGATCACGTTGAGGCAAAGTATATTATTGTCTAGGAAGTCATCAAAAACTTTACTGCTTACAGGACAGTAGGGTGGAAAAATAGTAATAAAGCAGGCCACGCTCCAAGGCATTGAAACCCTGTGATTTTGCAAAGAATGTCCTCTACTTTCCCTATGTTATCACTTTCTCCCTCGCCGTTTTACAAGTTTTGAAGGCTCTCACGGGCACGCTGAAACCCACCCGCTCAGTCTTGAGCCTAGTTACAGGCGTAGTGACAGTCATGAACTGACATGTGAAACGGTTGACCCTTTCTGATATGGCTGTCTTTGGCAAAAGTACTCCATTGAAGAACAACTTCAGCTACGTGGAATATACTCGGTCCAACCATGGAAACATTCAAATTCAAACAACTTAACGCCCCTTGCACTAGAACTGAGCCTTCAGGATCTCTTGATCCTCTTGGAGCTTCCCTCTCTGGATCATACTCCTCAGCGACAAGCTTCACCATCCTGATGGGCACGCAGTTGGCCCAGATCATGTAGTCGATCTTCTCCATCAAGCTTTTGACTCTTGATTTAGTGCTCACCACTTGGTTAAACGGCAAGCCCGGATCTCCAACCCATGAAATCCAACCTCTTTTTTTTTTGGCCATTCTGTTCCTGCATCTCGCTCATGCTCATTGAACTGGATCTGCGTGTCCTCATACCATTCAACTTCCTCTTCCGCGCCAATCGCTGATTGACGCATCACTTCGTCCTCTTCTAGCCTCTGCAAGGCCTGCGTAAATTGCGTTTCTCAAAACCGGTCAAGTACATAAGCATCCTGACTCTCTTCCCTGCCAAGATCTGCTAGCTGGCTTCAACAACGGTCTTCAGCTTCCTTCTGTGGGAACTTGTAAATGCCGCCCAGCCAACTCTTTTGCTCTTGCGATTGCACAACAATGTACCAACTCCACTCTTGCTCATTACCCTCTTTGCAATTGATCAACTGTCTTTGCCAATGCTGGACTTGAGTTTCTCCACCAAAAGTCATGTCATCAACATGGACCTTCTTCAAACTCATCTCCTTCTTCCTGGCCTGGGAACCTTAGTTTGGATTTGGCCCGGAAGGAGTTCCACCAGAGGAAGTCAGATGAAGGTGAAGAGGCCAGAGTTCTGTTTTCGAGATGCGAAGATGGAGGTGAAAGAGGGTTTGAGGATGTTTCAAGGCGGCCTCAGAGGCGGCGCTGCAATGCTGTGATGATGATGATGATGATGACGACGATGATGATGATGACGATGATGACGATGATGATGATCACGATGACGATGATGATGATGATGGAGGTCTGTCTTGACCGCGCCAACGCCAGGAAAGAGCCGTGCGCACGTGAAGTTCATCGCGGAACAGGGGTTGACAGTGGAAGTTTGCGAGTCGTCACAAACGGAGAGGAGGACGCTGCGGCGCAGGAAGCTCGACTTCGTCTTGGCTTGCAGGCACACCACGGTTGAACTCAGTAGGCCCATAACTCACAAAGGGGCGGCAGAATTGAAAGCCAAGACGAAGTCGAGCTCTGTCTTGACCGCGCCATCCCATTCTATCAGGCAGATCGGAATAGCGTCGTGCAGGGAACGAGTG